ATCTACCTCACAGGATGTCTGCTGTGGGGAGGGGGAAGGAGTTTGCAAGCCGCTCTGAGACTCTGAGTGAGGGGTGGGATATAAATCCAGTCTCCTCCTCCTTCCTCTTCCTCTGTAGCCAAATCGCTTGCTGGCAATTTTCATGCCAGTAGCTCACAAAAAAGAATTTTTGCTCACAAAACTCCACAGCTTAGAGGGAGCATCAACTCCTGGGGCAGAGAGGCCTGTCTTCTTGTCCTCTGTGCACACTGAGGATGCTGCATTCATTAGTCCATCACTGCGTGTTTCTCCTTGATATATACACTAGAAATAAGGCCCGTTGTGGAAATAGATACAACGGGAGCTAGAAAGAGGCTCTGGGAGAGTGCTCTGGCTTTGGGCAAACAGTGTCAGTCTGCTTTTAAAACATGAACCTGGGACCTGCACACCACCAGAATACAGCAGGTTCCATATGCAACTGACATTCCAACTGCCTTGCGGGGGGGGGGGAGTTTGAGGTGCGGAATGGACTGAAGTCCAATCAGCTTCCATATGCAAAAGACCAGGTTGTCACAGCAGTTGTGGTGTGGGCGGGACCCGGGCTTTGCCTTCTGATTGGTGGCGATATATGCTGAGGAGCAGTGCCATCAGCCATACACTAAGGGAGTGCATTTTAGAATTAGAACTTTGGCACCCACTATTCAATTATATATAAGGACAGATTCTCACCAGCTCCAGCTCCCAAGAAGGCCAGATCACGTGTTGGACATGCAAAGCTGCCTTATACTGACTCAGAGCACTGGTCTAGCAAGATCAGTATTGCCCAGGGTATAATGGCAGAGTCCACTGTTTTCTCCAGAGGAACTGATCTCTGCTCCCTGAAGAGCAGTTGTAATTTTGAGTGATCTGTAGCCCTCACCTGGAAATTGGCAACAATTGTTACCCAGGACGAAATGGCTGGTTTGGAGGGTGGAGTCTATGGCATTCTACCTGTCTGATGTCCCACCCCTCCGCAAACCCCACCCTCTCCAGGCTCCACCCCTCAAATCCCCAGGAATTTGCCAGCCTGGAGTTGGCAACCCCATCTCCTTCCCAGCTAACCATCAACCTACCATTATCTGCCCCTTTGACTTCAGCTGACTTCCGCCCTCCCTTCTGCAGAGCAATTGTAATTTTGAGTGGTCTCCAGCCCTCACCTGGAGATTGGCAACAATGGTTCCCCATGAGGGACTGAGTGGTTTGGAGGGTGGAGTCTATGGCATTGTACCTGTCTGAGGTCCCACCCCTCCTCAAACCTCACCCTCTTCAGGCTCCATCCCTCAAATCTCCAGGAATTTCCCATCGGGAGTTGGCAACCCTATCAGGATTGGCCCCAATATGTTTTCTCCCAAAGGGCAAAGTAGGTGACTGGACCAAACTTAGTTGCCTACCAACAGGCACTGAGGGGAAAGTAGGGTTGCCAGCTATAAGGAGGGAAATACCTGGAGTGTTGGGGGGTGGATTCTGTAGAGGGCAGCAGGGGGGGGGGGGCGGAAGGACTCAGCAGGTATAATGTCATAGGGTCTACCCTCCAAAGCAGCCATTTTCTCCAGGGGAAACTGATCTCTGTCATCTGGAGATCAATTGTAGCAGTGGGAGATCTCCAGGTCCCACCTGGAGATTGGCAACCCTAGGGGAAAGTCAGCTGCACAGCAGGGGGTTGAAGAGAATGGTTTGATGGGTGCTGGGCCAAGATTGGCAACAATAGTTCCCCAGGAGCAAATAGCTGGGTTGGAGGGTGGAGTCTATGGCACTGTAACCTGTCTGAGGTCCCCCGCTCCGGCCTCCACTCCTCAAATCTCCAGGATTTTCCATACCTAAAGCTGGCAACTTTATCTCCTCCCCTCTCAGTAGCCTCTTATTTTGCCTTAAATTGGTTTTGATGCCAGCAGAGTGAGAAAATGCCAGAGGCTCTGGGTGGGTGCCTCATCGTAAATGCACCAAACAATTCCTAAAGATTTGCCAAAACACTACTCTGTTGATAAATTGCAGCACTTTGAATTAGCACCAGAGCTTTAAGAGCTCTCCAGCTGTCACCTGGAGACTGGCAACAGCTTGTTTGGAGGGTGGGGAGTATGGCATTGTATCTGTCTGAGGTCCCCCTCTTTCTCTTCCTCCTCCTCAGACCCCACCCTCAGCAGGCTTCATTCCTAAACTATCCTGGAAGTTTCCAACCTGGAGTTGGCAACCCTATGTCCTTTCCAGGCAACCATCAGCCTAACCTTTATCTGCCTGTCTGTCTTCAAGTTTACTCCCCCCCCCCAGCCTCTGCCTAGGGAAAGCAGCTGTCATCATTCTCCTCTCCCCCTATGAGGTATGTTAAGGTTGAAAGTGTGTGAATGGTCCATATAATCCCCCAGAGCTCTTAAAACATGTTCCTGGGACCTACACACCACCAGAGGGGGAGTATGAGGTGTGGAATGGAGTGTAGTCCAATCAGCTTCCATATGCAAAAGACCTTGAAGGTTCCATATGCAACTGACATTCCAACTGCCTTGCGGGGAGGGGGGTGAGTTTGAGGTGTGGAATGCAGTGAAGTCCAATCAGCTTCCATATGCAAAAGACCTTGAAGGTTCCATATGCAACTGACATTCCAACTGCCTTGCGGGGAGGGGGGTGAGTTTGAGGTGTGGAATGCAGTGAAGTCCAATCAGCTTCCATATGCAAAAGACCTTGAAGGTTCCATATGCAACTGACATTCCAACTGCCTTGCGGTATATATAAGGAGAGATTCTAGTGGAAGGATTTGCCTAACAGAAGAGTGAAGGGCCGTGCCAGGGATGATGCCCGCAGATAAAGCACACTCTGCTCCAGCTAATCTATTCAGATCTGCCTGGCAGAAAAGAAGGTTTAAGATCGGGCTTATGCTATGCCCCCCCATCTTCTTCTTTAAAAACATCCACCCTGATGAGGAACTGTGGAGAACGCAAAAGCCGGTACCCTCCTTTGTGTTATTTTAGATGGTACTCCTAAAAGGCATGAAGTGGTTTTTGTTTTGGGAGGGATTTTACTCTGGATAAGGGGGCTGCAGTGGCTCAGTGGTTAAGACACCGAACTGCAGACCGGAAGGTTCTAGACCCGAGTGTGCCGCATGACGGAGTGAGCTCCTGTCTCTGGCCCCAGTTCCTGCCAACCTAGCAGTTTGAAAGCAAGAAATTGCAAGTAGATAAATAGGTACCACTTCGGTGGGAAGGTAACAGCGTTCCGTGCGCCTTGGTGTTTAGTCATGCCGGCCACATGACCACGGAAACGTCTTCGGACAGCGCTGGCTCTTCGGCTTTGAAAAAGTAGAGGTAGGTCCAGGGCTATTTTTGGGCAGGAACGCACAGGAACGGAGTTCCGGCTGGCTCCCAAGTTGGCCACGCCCAGCAGGAACTCATTAGCATAATAGGCCACACCCAACAGCAGAAACTCATTAGGATTGGCTACATTAGGGGTGTGTGGCCTAACATGCAAAGGAGTTCCTGCTCCAAAAAAAGGCCCTGGATCTTGACAACAAACAAGGTAAACAGAATAAGAAGGGAAAGGTGGGTGTGGCTGGATAACCACACTTCTGGTAACATGGGGGTGCGGCCTAATGTGCTAATGAGCTGTGCTATCAGGGGTGTGGCCCAATATGCTAATGAGTACCTGCTGTTGGGTGTGGCCTATTATACTAATGAGTCCCTGCTGGGCTTTTTCTACAAAAAGAGCCCTGCCTGGATAATATAACTACCTTCAGTCTCAGGTATAGAGTTGCCAGCTGTGGGTAGGGAAATACCTGGAGATTTGGGGGTAGGGTTGCCAGGTCCTTCCTGGCCACAAGCAGGGGATGGGGGGGGTAGAGTTGCCAGATCCAGGTTGGGAAGCTCCTGGAGATTTGGGGATGGAGCCTGGGGAGGACAGGGACCTCAGTGGGGTGCAATGCCATAGAGCCCACCTCCGAAGCAGCCATTTTCTCCAGGGGAACTGCTCTCTGTCACCTGGAGATCAACTGGAATAGTAGGAGATCTCCAGGCCCCACCTGGAGGTTGGCAACTGTAATTTAAGCCCTGGTGTCTCATCCCAGCTGTGGCCACTGGTTGTCAGCTCCGGGTTGGGAAATACCTGGAGATTTTGGGGTGGACCCTGAGGAGGGCGGGGCTTGGGACATAGTGACAGTCGAGTCTAACTTCCAAAGCAGCCATTTTCTCCAGGGGACCTGTTCTCTGTTGCCTGGAGATCAGGTATAATAGCGGGAGATCCCCAGCCACCCCCTGGAGGCTGGCAGCCCTACACTCTGGGACGGTGGTGGGGAAGAGTGAAGGGTGCACTCTGCACATGCTCAGCGACGCCCTCCTCTTGACACCTCCATCTTTTCCCAGGCTCAGCTCTTGCCCGCCCACTAGGGTTGCCGGGTCTGGGTTGGAAAATACCTGGAGATTTTGGGGGTGGATCTGGGAGAGGGCGTGGTTTGGGGAGGGGAGGGGCCTCGGCATGGTACAGTGCCACAGAGAGTCCACCCTTCAAAGCAGCCGTTTTCTCCAGGGGAGCTGATCAATGTTCCCTCTAAGCCGTGGAGTCTTGTGAGCAAAAATTCTACTTTGTGAGCCACTGGCATTAAAGTTGTGAGCGAGCGATTCGGCTGCTGCATCAATTAGTTTGCTCTGGGGCCATCCTTCCTGAGCTAAGACAAAAACGTGTGAGCCGGAGGCTAAAAAACTGCGAGCTAGCTCACACTCACTCAGCTTAGAGGGAACACTGGAGCTGATCTCTGTCCGCTGGAGCGCAGCTGTCAAAGCGGGAGATTTCCAGGCCCCACCTGGAGGCTGGCAACCGGCCGCAGCGCTCCAAATCCCCCCCCCTTCTGCTCCCAGGTCTTCTCCGGCAAATCCGCGCGGGGCGCTTTTAGGGGCGGGGCCTCGAAGCCCGCCCGAGTTCCCCGCGTCTCTCCTCTTTCCCCTTCCCCGCCTTCCCGGCATCTCCGCCCCTTGCTTGCATTTTTCACCTCCTAAAGATGGCGACGCTGGTGCTCCGGAGCCTGGGGTGGGGTTAGCGGAGGGAGTCTCCTCGCTTGGCGAGCCCCAAGCGTCCAGGTACCTGGGCTGATCCGCCGGCGGGCGGGCGGGAGGAGGGGGCAGCCGAGGGTGCCAGGGTGGGGGCTTCGAAGCGGAGGGCACCTGGCTGGCTCCAAGGGTGCTGGGAGGACAGGAGGAGCCAGGTTGGCGTTGCATTTCGGCAGGACTGGGCGCAGGCAGGCAGGCAGGCAGGCAGGGTCGGATGGAGGGGCTCTTTCTGTGGGACGCGGGTGGTTAGGGGTGATGATCCCCCCCTCTCCCCACTGGAAAGGGGGCTGGAAAGGGACGGGAGGAGAAGCCGGGGTTGGGGGGGAGGTGATTTTTGCCAGGTGGCCTGATCCGGCGGCCCCCTTCGCAGAAAAGGGAACCCGGCGACTGAAAGTTATGGCGAATGCGCCTAAGACAGCGGGACGCTTTTTGTTTCTAAGGGGGAGTCCTCTACTGTATCCCTAAATAAAGCATGGGAGGGTGGAGGGAACGGGGGTGGGGGGAATTGGGGTGGGGGTCGGCCAGGCTGCCTTTGCCCGATTTTACACAAGGAAAGGTTTGGTTTCCTATGATAAAGGGAAAAGAGGACTGGTGATAGGAAGACAGAAATATGAGTCCCTTGTGGTGCTTTACTTATTCTTTCTTTTTTTTAAAGAAAAAATATATTTTTGGCATAGTTTCTCTTGCTATTTGTGGGGAGGGGCCAAGGTGTTTCTGAAGGGCACTGAAGCCCCACCCTCGGCCTCAGGAAATATGAATCAGCCATATTTCTCCTTTCCAAAATGGTAGCAGGCGTCCCCAAGCATAGGAATGGAAAACGTGCCTTTGTGACCATGAGGACTAGTAACCTCTCTTTTTTTCTTCTTAAATTGTGACTACTGGCATTCTTAAGAAGCTGGATTTGACACTTTCTCCCGTTTTGTGTACCTGTGTGAAAGTGCAGTATAACGCAACCAGGGAAGGCTTTGGTATTTATACAGCGCTTTTGAGTATTCAAAATGCTTCTAGCTACGCTGGCTTCGCTGGAATCCTTCCAGCCCCACCCTGCAAGCCAGAGAATCTGGAGACAGGTGACCTATAGAGAAGCCAAGCCAGTGGCTTGCCTAAAGCCCCTTAGCGAATTCCTCGGAGCTGGTGGAATTCGAACCAGGGACTTCACTGGTCCACTTTCTGGAACACCTTATTTAACTTCCACTTTTACGTACTAACTGCACTCCATGGTCTTGCGTGAAGCCCATGGGGAGGGCGGGATATAAATATGAAAAATAAATACAATAAATAAATAAATAAGTAGGTTTCTCTCAAGCCACAGGTTTGTTTGGCACTGGCTAACGGCTTGTTAAATGTCTTGGGTGACGTGTTGTGTGGACGTGTGCCAAGCTCTTTTGTCCTGGCTTGGGAAGGGGGAACTGTATCTGCCTTAAGAGGAAGTTACATACCGGTACTTGTAACTTCCTGGTGTTGTAATGAGTGATAGTTAAGGCTCTGGGGTTTAACCAGTGAATAAAAGTAGATTAAAAGGGTGCAGCCAGTTAACTCGACCAGCAGTTTTTGTTTCACCTTTTTACTCCGTTTGCAAAAGCTACCAACGGAAAGGTGTCCTTTTAGAAGAGGCGTTCCTCCTTCTGTCTTGGAAAAGCGGGAATGCCTCTTGTAAGTTGAGGCACGCTGCCTGTTAATTGATATCCCGTGCTTCCTTGACCTGGATGGCTGCATTTAGCTCAGTCTTGTCAGATCTTGGAAGCTGAGCAGGGTCGTCCTTGATTAGTACTTAGATGGGAGCCCACAAAGGAATTCTGGGGTTGCTATGCAGAGGGCAGGCCATGGGCGCAGGCCATGGCAAACCACCTCTGTTTGTCTCTTGCCACGAAAACCCTACAGGGTCACTCTAAGCTGGGTGGGAATTGGTGACACTTTACTTACACGTGCGCACACACACTCCCTCCTCTTAGAGGGCCTTGCAGTACCATAGATCAGTCTTCTTTCTTCCAAATTATCCTCACAACAGCCCTGTGAGAAGTCGGGTGGAGAGCGATTGGCCCAAGGTCACCTAGTGCGCTTTGTGGCAGAGTGGGAATTTGAGACCTGGCTCTCCCCCGGCCTAGTTTACTCGGAGCACTGTGCCGTTCCTCATTTCAAATTCCTAGCAAGAAGATCTCTCCTGCTTTGGAGTGGCTGATCTATGAATATGCAAATATATCCCGATTTATAAGACTGACTGTATGAGCTTCGTCATCCAAGATTACTTTGATCAAATGGACTGCTGGAATTAGTTTGATTTAGGGGCACAAGTGGTAGTACTTGAGGGAGTTGTATTAATTAGACTCATCAACTGATTAAAGGTTCCTGAAGCTGATGAGTCTGCCTTTGAAGTTGAAGGTTGCAGAGAAGCCTGGCAAAGTAGCTAGTCCACAGTGTTCAGGGCATCCTGCTTCACCCACACATAAAAGTGGACATTTCAGTGGCTGATGAGCAAGCCTGAAAGGAAAATAATGTGTTTTCCTCCATTTACAAAGCCACCCTTTCCTACTAATGTTGGTGCAATTCTTGCCATAAGCCTATCTTAATTAATTCAGTTTACAGACATTTTTCTTATCTAAATCCTCGATAAGAGAGACTTTTTTTTTGTAAATGGGAGGTATGCATACGTAGCTGCCTTATACTGAACCAAACAATTGGTCTGTCAGGGGCAGTATTGTCTGCTCAGACTGACAGCTGCTTGTCCAGGGTGTGAGGTGGAGGTCTTTCATATAATCTACTGTCTGGTCCTTTTAACTGGAGATGTTGGGGATTGAACCTGGGACCTTTTGCATACCAAGTATGAGAACCCACATGAAACCTGCCTTCCACTGGCCGCCTATTCAGACTGGCAGCAGCTCTCCAGAGTTTCAGGCAGAGGTCTTTCACATCATCTACTGCCTGGTCCTTTTAACTGGAGACATTGGGGATTGAACCTGGGACCTTTTGCATACCAAGTATGAGAACCCACATGAAACCTGCCTTCCACTGGCCGCCTATTCAGACTGGCAGCAGCTCTCCAGAGTTTCAGGCAGAGGTCTTTCACATCATCTACTGCCTGGTCTTTTTAACTGGAGATGTTGGTGATTGAACTTGGGACCTTCTTGCATGCCAAGCGGGTGCTCTGCCACTGAGCCGTGGTACCACCTCCCTAGAAGGTGACTCATGATATTAAAAGCTACAATGTATTACATCATTGTGGTTGCTCACCTCGCCCCCAACAACTGTAAAAACTATTCCTGATGCTTTGTATCAACCCTTGCCAGTTAAAATCCCTCACGGCGTAATGCTTGGGTTGCTGTAAATTACCAGTTGAGCCTGCTGAAGGTTTAATCGGTAACTTAATAACAATCCTGTGGCGCTTAGAACACATTTATGCTACAAAGTAAAAACGGTTTGAATCTGGTATAATGTCTGTGGCTTCCTCACAGGGATTCCTGGGGAAACGTGTTCCCATCCTGTGAGGCCGCATACCCTGCCGATCACTGGGTGCCGTGTTCTGTCTTCCCGCTCCTTCGGGGGAAGAGGGAAGCGTTCCCCCCCCCCCCATAAAGCTGGGGGTGACTTCGTCTTCTGCTTTTCAGGAGAAAGACCCCACCCCCACCCCAGAAGGAGCGATCGCCCCCTAGCACCATGCTCCGAAGACTTCTGGATCGGCCCTGCACTTTGGCCCTCCTGATCTGCTTCCAGTTTGCCTTCATGGCCTATTTCTCCTTCGGTGGCTTCCGGAACCTGGCCTCCATCTTTGGGCATGATGCGAACCCGTCTTTTGATTACTCACGGACCCATGACGTCTACACGAACCTCAGCCTTTTGCCTCAGCAGCCCCGTCACGGAAGCCCCACGGGATCTCTGCCCTACTGCTCAGAGCGATCGCCTTACCTCGGTGAGTCTGACTTGTGGGGTGGGCGAAGGGGTGTCTGCAACGTCCCTACTCTGTTTGGGGGGTTAAAAAGGGGAGGGGGGTGGTGGAGGCTGGTGAGTAACAGGAGCTGGGCGGGATGCTGACGTCGCCTTTATGGTAGCAGACTAAATATCAGTTTTAAAGTTACGGTTCTTGAATAAGCTCCAAGTGGGAGCAGGGGGATCCAGACGATAGAGATCAGTTCCCCGGGAGAAAATGGCTGCTTTGGAGGGTGGACTCTCTGTGGCATTGTGCCCCACTGGGGTCATGAGAACATAAGAGAAGCCACTGTTGGGTCAGGCCAATGGCCCATCCAGTCCAACACTCTGTGTCACACAGTGGCCAAAAATACCAGGGGCCCTCAGGAGTTCCACCAGTGGGGCCAGGACACTAGAAACCCTCCCACTGTTGCCCCCCCCCAAGCACCAAGAAGACAGAGCATCACTTGCCCCAGAGCCCCTGTCTATTAAAGTAAAGGTTCCCTTGCTCGAAAGCCAGTCGAATCCGACTCTAGGGTTGCGGCGCTCATCTCCGTTTCAAAGCCGAAGAGCCAGCGCTGTCCAAAGACGTTTCCGTGGTCATGTGGCCGGCATGACTAAACACCAAGGTGCACGGAATGCTGTTACCTTCCCACCGAAGTGGTACCTATTTATCTACTTGCAATGTCTTGCTTTCGAACTGCTAGGTTGGCAGGAGCTGGAACTAGAGACGGGAGCTCACTCCGTCATGCGGCACACTCCGGGTCTCGAACTGCTGAACTGCTGACCTTCCACAGCCTGCAGTTCAGCAGCTTAACCACTGAGCTACCGCTTCTCCCTAGCTTCTAGGGAGAGTTTTATTTGTTTAAATTTATGAATCGCCCATCCTGCAAGCAGGCTCTGGGCAATCTTGTCAGTTAAAATACAGTCAGCATAAAATTATAATAATCCAGTAAATTAACAGTCCATATGGCGATATAGACCCCTTTTGCTGGCTACGAAAAAAACCGGAAAAATTCGGGGGGGAAACGTTTTTTTTCCGTTATTTTCCTGAAGCCTTTTTTGTTTTTTTCCGAAAAATTGGAAAAATTGAAAAAAGAAAAAAAAAATGATTATGGAATATTTTATTTTAACATGATGAATAAAATATTTTAAAACAAGGTGTTCAAATATTTTCCAAATCATTTCTTAAAAATATGTATGGTGTCAGATTGATCTAATTTCTGTGCATGGAGGACAAGCAAATCCTAGGTTACAAATTGAACTCTCCAATGCAAGAACAAGATGCATTTCTTCCTTTGGAGGTGCTATTGTCACAAGAAAAGAAAAAGGTTTCAGTTTTGTTTTTGCATGTGGGAGGGTATTCTGTTTGTAATAATTGTCTGGATACACTTTATTTTTAATATGCTAGTTGTGATAATTTCATGCCAAGTAAAAATGTCCATAGTCATATTTTATGTTCCTAAAGTAACAGAATGACTTTCAGTCTAGAAAAGACAAAAGAAATGCCGATGTAGCATTTTTTCAATTTTTCCGAAAATTTCCGTTTCCTCCCGAAAAAACCCGGGGTTTTTTCCGAGCTTCAAAATTTCCGGAAATTTTACATCTCTAGGGGGTCATAGGAAAAAAACCAGGTGCCAGTTTTAACCATTGCTGCCCTCAACGAAAAGCCTGGCGGAATATCTCTGCCTTGCAGGCCCTGCAGAATGGCATCAGATTCTTCAGGGCCCCGATGTTGTGTGGCAGAGAGTTCCACTGGGTCGGGGGCAGGACCGAGTGGCCCTGGCCTTAGTCAAGGACAGCTGGACTCCCCTAGGGCCGGGGATCGCCAGCAGGTTGTTGTCAGCTGATCTGAGCATCCTTCTGGGGACATAGTGGAGAAGGTGGTCCCAAAGGTACGTGGGTCTCTGATCACCCAAGGACTTAAAAGTCAATGCTAATACCTTGAACCCGAGTCAGTATTCCACTGGTAAGCAGTGTAGCTGGTGCAGCACAGGTTGTATATGTGCTGTCTGTGGCGTTCCTGCCAGGACTTGCGCTGCTGCATTCTGGACTAGTTGGAGCCTCCGGGTCAGTCTCAAGGGCAGGCCAGCATAGAGTAAGTTACAGTAGTCCAGTTCAGATCTGATTTGATCTAGAGCCCGCTTATTTGTCTTTTCAGTGGTCCACGGTGCCTGTGAAACTCTCCTCCCTGGCAATACAGGACTTTTAATGAGAGAAGACAGGTTTTTTTGGAGTGTGGGAGGGAGTATCAGAGGTGAAAGAACTAAGATGGAGCCAACTCCTGAAAATTCTGTTTAGATCAAGTGGCGGGAGTCAGTTCCCTGCTGGGAATCAGTTTATTTACTCCTTGATGATGTAGTGCATTCCTTACATACCGCAAATCCTAACTTGAAGATGTCTTTATGGCTATTCCAGAAGGGGCTGCTTCTTTTTAAGTAGGATAATTTAACACTTGAGATGGGAGGTCCAGTAGCCACATGCCAAACTTCTCTCTTACTTTCTTATCATTTTATGGCTGTTTCCTGCTGTATTATTGTCTAACTGCCAACTCCTGAAGAGGGACACAAAATATAACATCCCTGAACTACTTAAAGATAAGCTTTCTAGGAATTGTTTGTAAAACCATAAATGAGTCTAAACCAGCAGGAGTAGCTAGAGAAGCAAGGACCTAAAAAACTCCATATGCAGGACATGCAAGAGGAAAAAAAATCTGTCACTGCTTCAGGGAACCCAGGGAACTTGTAAATAACCTACATTCTTCCCAGGCTGTAAGAGGGCTTTCCAGAGAGCCAGCTTGGTGTAGTGGTTAGGAGCACGGATTCTAATCTGGGAGAACCGGGTTTGATTCCCCGCTCCTCCACATGCAGCTGCTGGTGTGACCTTGGGTCAGTCACAAGTTTTTTCAGAGCTGTTCTCTCAAGAGCAGTTCTCAAAAGAGCTCTCTCAGCCCCACCTACCTCACAGGGCGTCTGTTGTGGGGAGGGGAAGGGAAAAGAGATTGTAAGCCACTCTGAGACTTCTTCGGGTAGTGGAGGGCGGGGTACAAATCCAATCTTTTCTTCCCCTTTAAGAAAAAGAGACATGCTCTTAACTGATACTGCTCAGGTTCGAAAAGGATATTCCCTTTTAGGAAACAGAGATGCTCCCTGATTGATACTGAGTCAAGTAATGGGGATAGTTGGGATACGGACTCACACCTGGAAGAATTGACAGCCGCACACGTGAAAGGGATCTAGGTGTTCTGGTTGATCACAAGCTAAACATGAGCCTGCAGTGCGATGTGACTGCGAAGAAAGCTTTGGGCACCACATTTTAGGAAGGATGTTGACCAGCTCGAGCGTGTCCAGAAGAGGGCAACCAGGATGGTGAGAGGGTTGGAATCCAAGTCTTATGAGGAAAGGCTGAAAGAGTTGGGTATGTTTAGCCTGGGAAAGAGAAGGCTTAGAGGAGACATGATTGCAGTCTTCAAGTATCTGAAGGGCTGTCATGTAGAAGATGGAGCAGATCTATTCTCTTTTGCTCCGGATTGCAAGGCTAGATCTAATGGGTGGAAATTACAAGGGAGTTGATACTGGCTCAATATCAGGAGAAACTTCCAAACTGTAAAAGTGGTTAAGCAGTGGAACAGACTGCCTGGGGAGGTGGTGGATGCTCCTTCACTGGACGTTTTCAAGCAGAGGCTGGATGACCGTCTTTCAGTTATGTTGTTGGGCTACCTTTCGGCTACGCTCCTTCAGAGTGCAGGGGGTTGGACTAGATGACCTGCAAGGTCCCTTCCAACTCTAACATTCTATGATCTATGAGGAACTGGGGAAGACAACTGTTTCCCTGGAAACATCTGGGGAAAACAGTTAGGCCTCTTGCAACAATTTCAAGGAAACCTCTTGTGCTTTGTCGCCGACCAGTGCCTGTCAACGGCAATCACAGTCATTTCAATCTTTGAATAGCTAACAAAAATAGAAGCCTTTAGGAAAGTTCTCTAAACAGTTATGGAAAATCAGTGATCTACTACCATAGAGCAATCTCGAAATAACTTGGGTCAAGATCTTGGTGACCCAGTTGACAAAGGAAGGACTCCTCCTCGAACTGGAAAGTGTGATAAACGATCATTGGGGCTGCTCCTTAATTTTACAAATAAACAAGGTCATGCTAAAGATTGCTTCCAGCAGAATAAATAAGAGGAAGAGACCTCCAAGGAATACCAGAGCTTGGGACGCGGAGGCAGGCAACCAAGCCACCTCTCTGAAACGTCCAAACCCCACTAGGGGTCACCATGACTTCCAGGCACCCAAGTGCATACACACACAACCACACACACACACAGCATCTGATTCACTGAGCAAGTTATTAAGAATTCTGCTGCATAGTGCAATGTTGACCTGGCAAATCACAAAAGTTTGCCAAGCCCTCCATCTTGTAATAAGATTCTTTTAACTTTTAAATGTTTTATAATTCTGAAATATACTGTTTAAAATGAAATATTTTCTAGCTTCCTTTGAAGTCTATCCAGTAAGCGTCTTTAGGGATGGGCTGATTCGATCTTTGCTCACAAACCCAATGACAAATTTGGAGGGTGGAATCTATGGCTTTGTACCTGTCTGAGGTCCCACGCCTCCTGAAACCTCACCCTCTCCAGGCTCCATCCCTCACATCTCCAGGAATTTCCCACCTAGAGTTGGCAACCCTATCTCCTTCCCAGCCAGTCATCAACCTTCCTTTATTTCCCCCTCACTCTTCAGCTTTCCACCCCCACACACCTGCAGCCTCTCCCGTGCTCTGAAGCCCTGACTGCTACGTCACATTGGCTGTCATATGGGGCCCACCTCAGCAGCATATAAAGATACAGAGCCCACCATTTTCTCCAGGGGAACTGATCTCTGCCATCTGGAAAGCAGGTGTAATTCTGAGTGATCTCCAGCCCTCACCTGGAGATTGGACATATTTTACCTCAGAACAGCAAACTGTTTAGAATGTTAGAGGCAAAAGCCAATCAAGTCGCAT